ATATATATATATGTTTATCATTGTTTATCAAAATTTATCAGGATGATGTTTCTTCCACAACATTCCATCACTATACCTGGACCCTTCAAAGTACCTTGGAAAATGGGACATGACCCAAACAAGGACAGGTACTTCTAAGTACGAACGGGTCGACTTCAGGTATGATGATCTACCGACCAATCCACCAGGTTGTCCAATCCACCATGTATATACCATTAGGCGCCAATTTAAGTTTCAGCCTTGCCGCAGTATTCACTGTTTTTCCTCGGACATTCTCATTACATTTGACCTTTGTGGCTCAGATAGCGACCTGACAGAGTCCTTCACGACCGCCCAAAACAGGGCCTATTTGGGGCGGCCACGTGAACGAGACTGCGTGGTACAACGATACGTTTCTAATTGGATGGTTCATATAGCACTATCGGTTGCCCATCTTTCAACAGGCCCGATCTTCAACATGGATGATTCATATTGGCTCATCTTCCAGGAGTTTCAAAGGGGTGCGATCCATGGAGGAAGTCGGGGTGCCCATTACCCACTCACTGGATGGGACTAAACACCACCCCGTCGAACGTGACCCCTGATTGGCCACCGATCTGAAGACAAATTTGATCCATCGAACCCTTCAACAGAACCAGGTCGACACCCACATCGACGAAGCCACGAGCTCGTGGCTTGGACTAAACCCTCTTTTTTTTTGCGGATCAGGTGATTTGTTGTCCCGAATTGATGAAATCCCCTCTATGGTGAATATGTGATATTCCAAGGACAGCAAATCCAAGAACATGTTGTGCAGAGCAAGCTGCAGGTCTGGGCCCCCGTTGTCCACCCATTGGCCCACTCTGCTGTTTTTCGGGTTCCAAGTGGGCCTTGAAAACTGGAGGGTCTGGGCCTTCTTCCCTCCAAAAGTCCAAAGGTGCCGTGAATCAATCGAATTGCATTTCAGAGGCTTTCCCAGGACCTTCCTGTCAATTCCAGCCCAGCTTCGGTGTTGCTTCGGACGCCCGGAATTCGATCCTCCAAGTCGTTCAGCTAAGGATTGCTAACAAAAACCATCAAAAACCTACCAATACAAAGAAATTTATAAGACATCTTAAGCTAAAACCGTGCGCCGAGAAGTCCGGCGTACGCGGGGAACATATTTTTCGTCTGAGACTCTTCGAACCTCAGTGCAGTTTAACGAACACATGATTGCCAACGTGTACACCCTAGGGCTCCTGTCCCATCTCCTCAGAAGGTGGTTAGACCCCCCCTGGCACCCACCCCCCCAGAGGTGGGCCAGGAGCCCTAGGACAGGTACCCTTCGACCCTTCGAGCTTTCAGAGCTTTAAGAGTCGAGTCGAGTCCGTCAAGAGTCGGCGGTCCGAGACCCCGGACGGTCCAGGTCCCCAGGGACCCGAGTGGCGTGGAATCACTTGTACAGGGGGGCATTTGATGTATTCTTTACTAAGCAGATAGTCGTCAAAAACTGGACCGGTGTGGCTGGAGATGCCTCCAAACCACTACACTATCCTGGATCTCCAGCCATTGGAGGGTCTGGTTGTTGCACTTTGGATCTTTTTTGTGAACCTTTTGGTGATATGGATACCTCCCATTTGACCTTTGTTTTGATATAGGAAAAGACATGAAAAGACCATATGTTGGGTGCTTTGTGGGCCAGAATAGAGGTCAGTCTGAATCTATCATATCTTCGTCAAACACTAGAACTGGCCGATGTTCAGGAAAGCACTCGTGCTGCTCAAGATCAAGATAAAGCCCTAGAGCCTAGGGCTTCAACTACATCTTCAGAATGTCGACCGCACTGGCACCTTCCCGAACCACCTTCAAAACGGATGCCGTAACGGAGTTTTGGAGAGGATCTATCCTACAAACCATCCTGTTGCAGGAAGGAAAAACCGGCCTGCTCACAGAACTTCTTTGAGGAGGGGGGGCCCATCATGAGACAAACAGACTTTGTGTATCTTTGTGTAATTCCAGTCTTCGACCCGATGATTTGAGCACTGAACCCACGGTTCACTTGATGCTCAAGAGTCAAGAGTCCCAACAAAAAGAAATCTCCGCAAGAGACCCCAAACGGTGTCTAGAGATGTTTAGAGGTCTAAGGTCCAGAAGTGTAGAAGCAGACGACCTCGGACACCATGATCTTCAAGGTCACTTTGGAGAGAGGTATTGGTTTTCACCAGGGGGCAGATTGTTGGGGCGTGTCTCATTACCAGCCAAAGTCGGTTTAAAGACATGTACTGTAAAACTATGATCATCTGTTCAGAACGAACGGCCTGTAGAAAGACCATCCACTTGGCCCTTTCGGTACATGGAATGGACCGAGACGAAGGACGCACCGATTCCATGAGTCCACCCTTGGAGGCCCTGGCCTACTCCACCAGTCCTTCACACCACCTGCTCGTGATGTGAGGGCTGCAGGTGGGGTGGGGCGTTCGTGTGGTTGCACGAGCCGCAGGGGCGCAGGATGATTTGGGCAAAAAAACGTGGCCTACCCCCAACAAGCATGGAAGTTGATGCTGTTGGTAGTAGAGGATTGACCCTGGTGTTTCCAGGGGCCATGCCATCCACGTAACCATGAGAGTTTCAGGAAGGGTAGCTCTTGGTCAGAAAAAAGACAGCAAATGTTGTTTGATGATGCCATCCCTCACTGGACCATGTTGGTCATGTTGGTGTAAGGGTTTTACACACCAAGCAACGTCAAGCAACGGTTGATCCAGCATCTGGAGGACAAATCACAAGTCTCCGTCCTACGGCGTTTTGTCTTGAGTAGCGGCAATGCAAATACCGTCGGAGTCCAACGGCCAGGTCTCCCAAGTGTTGAGAGCAACATGCTCAACCATATTGGATGCCCTACGGATCCAAATACCTTCTCAGAAGGTACTTGACCCTCTCAAAAAAGGTATGTGGATCACTATGTTGGATGAGAGTTGAACTTAAGTTGAATACATAAAAGATGGTTTTCATCCTCCTTCCAATGGTTAAGAGATGCATTTTGTCCACTTGTGGTGACACGTTGATTCACCGGTCGATCCGCATCTCGCTCGGCACCAGCGGCACGAGGGCTTGAAACAGGGTGGTTTGAACAAGGGGTGGTCTCATCGATCACCAGGTTGGTCCCAACGATTCAACCAGTATGGTTGAATATCACCATCCTATCCCAGACACTCCATGGGACTGCCATATATGCCGTAGGCCTACATTGGGGTGGTGCCAGCGGGGTCAATGGGGCGGCAGTCCTATGGCAGTCCCATGTGTTTGTGTCTGGGTATGATCGGACTGAGTCGTTTGTCTTCCTTTGGGTTTCCGGCCTCTTTTTTTTGGCCTCCGACCAGGTTCGAGGGTGTCGAATCGGGTGAAGGCACAGAATCCAGTGCCTTGGAGAGGGACTCAGATGGACGAAGGGGACAGACATGGGTAGACCTGGTCTATGTCCCGAACCGAACTCAGGGAGGTCCGTTTTGGGAGGTCTCCCTATTTTAATAACAGATGTGGACAGAGGTGGAGCTGAAGAGGGGAGGATGGGAGGGATGGAGCTGATTGATTCTGAGGGTGAGCTGCAGAATCTGGATGCATATGAAGAGGTCTCACCATCCAAATGGAGCAGGGTTATGAATCAAGGTTCTACATGGGGTCCATGGGGCCGTCCATGGGACGGGGTGGGTCAAAAGGTATCAAAGGTAGCTGAAACGTCGACCCTCAGTGGCTGGAACAAAGACATCTTGCCCAAAGGCTCATTGGACCCTCAGTTCGCCAGGTTTTGACCCTCACAGCCAGGGTTTTGGACCTCAAACAGGTAGCAGTTGGTTCGGGTCCAGGGTCGCCTCTGGGTGAGATTCTTTGGCTCAGGATTTGGGTGTCTAACTGCATGGGTGGGGAAAAAGCGAATGTTCATCATTGCACGTTCCCCGTTGTCCTGATCTTGGAACAACATCACCACCGCGCCACCAAATCCACTCGAGAGGACCCACCGATGTCGCCGACCCGCTGGACCTCACAAGAATTCACAACACATCCTGCCACCTTCGTCCTGCCACCATCGTTCTGCCACCATCGTCCTGCCACCTGTTGAAGTGCCGACACATGCCGACACCTGTCCCGCCCCAGGAGCGTCACCCTTCCGCCTTCCGCCTTCGGCGTCCCTCCGTCTTCCGCCGTGTTGCGTCCGTGGAGCTGTTTGACTGGGACCCTGAACTTCGCCCAGCAGCGCCCTGCACTGCTGCGATGAGCTCTGGCCTCCGGCCTCCGGCACCGGGTGACATGAACGCGTGGGGACGTGGGGACCTCTCGGTGCTCGTGTGAATGACACGACTCTTCTCCGCTTCCTTCCAGCTGAAGCTTCCGAGTCCATGCAGACTTCTGCCTAGGCCCTAGGCGAGTTTGCATCCAAGGCTGGTGTGGCCGCACAACATCTCACTGCACAGGGCCACAACGGTAGGATGACCCACACAGTCACAAGCCTCTCTCAGCGTCTCAGTGGGCAGACACATCGGCATCACCATGGTCACCATCCCAGACACATGAGACTGGATCATTTGCCTGCATTGACCCCTTTTCAACCACCCCAATGGTAAATATTCCAGTCCCACGGATAGTTAGGGCATAGTATCAAATTGGTTTCCATCCTCCCCATGCTGCCTCGGGATTTTAAATCAACACAACGACAGAGTTTGTGCCAGACAAGGGTGAGCTCACATGATTATGCCTTTGGCTTTCCGTTGCTTGCCAGTACTTGCAGCATCCCCTACCCTGCGAGCTCAGTATTGTGGTGAGGGCAGTGGCTTCATTCTCATGTCGATACCGGTACAGGAAATGGTGCCCCTCTAGGCGAGTGTTGGTTTTTATGTGGAACATGTCAAAAGTTGTTTCCAGCAGTGGGACCTGTTGCTTGATTATGAACGATTCTGAAGTTTATTATTGTTTTAATGTTTTTTTACTTTATGATACAGTATATTTATATGAAGTCGCCAAATAGCTAGTGGCACGGTTTCCAAGACATTTTGAGTGGGGATCTACTTTTCTATCTATTTTGGGGTCCCCCCCCAAAAAATGAAGTCTTACAATATCTTATAATTACACACTCGGTTATATAATGAAGAAAATGTTCCACCTACAGGTCAGAGTTGCTCACTAGTGAGTGTTCCTCCGAGGTGGTGTGCTTCCTGTGCGACATCGGCCTACCTCAGCAACCCGGATTTCGGGCTCAGCTCCACAGAGCGTGACTGTCTGACTAAGCCACTGGATGGTCTAGGGTCGTAGGTCGTCCTATCAAAGGTTCCTTCTCATAAAGAAGTAGGACCCACCCAGCGGACATTCCAATAACTACTAGCTGTTTCGTCGCTGCGTCACCCTTTGTTTTTGAGTCTGAGTGATGGATGGTTTGCAAGGAAGGGAATTGTTGAGGCGATGTTCCTCTTGCCGGGTCACGACATGTTTTTTTCTTTCCTTCTATGCTGAACTTAGGCAACTGAGTTTGTACCACAGGAACTGGAGTCTTCGGCATGCGGCATTAAACAAAAACAAACTAGATCCTTCGGTGGAGCCGTATACGAAAGGCCATTCACATGCCCAGAAGCTCCACGCTCGTGCAAATATTTGGTCTACATGACTGGTTGTTTGTGTTTTGTCCAATATGGTCAGCTTTATGCCACCATGTGTTCTTGCTTAAGACCAGCGCAACATGACAGTCGTCTTTTCTGCAGATGGTGCGGTCACCCGAACGATCGACCCGGTCACCCGTTGGACCCACGGAACGGACGACCCGGTCGTTCCGGTCGTTTCGTGAGGTCGGTCTCCCGGTATTTGGGGCTAGGAAGTGTCCGAACAAACATAAAGTCATATATATGATCATATATGTATACCAGGACCTCCTTCCAACAGATCACCACCGACTTTGAAGTGTACAAAAAGCCTCCATTTCGGAGACCTGGCAGGGAATCGGTGCTGGTACATCAAATATTTCTGGGTTGCTGTGTGTGGCAGACCGATCCGGTCGACTCTGCCGGTCGGCCGTTGGGTCGGAACGTGGCACGTGGAACGTGGCCTGTTGGACAGCATTGGTATCTCATGCTGGCAGACACCCAAACTGGTCGCTTTCGCCTATTCCTGCTTGGGATTGAAGATGGTTCGGTGGTTCTGGTGATGCTTTTTTAACAACCTCCACCTGTGGGCAAAACAGGTTAGGACTCATCAGAAATGGGCGGTTGTTCATACCCAGTGCCGCACTGATGCACGAGTGGTCCACCACCGTGCTGCTCATCCCTCGTCGTCGTCGTCCCAGGTACGTGGACGCCATTTTGCGGAACGGTTTCGATGATATCGAGACTCTGGCCGAGATGAGAGAGGAAGCAGCGAAGCGGGAGGTTGGATGCAGAAAAGGGAGGGTTCCCCCCATCTCCCCCCCCCATCTAGGGTGTAGCCCCGAACAGAAGCTCCTCCCCCCCCAAATATGGAACCGTGCCTAACCAGGCTCTGCCAACCCCTCTTCGCACTTGCCAAACCTCAGTCATGGAATTCACGCACACACACATAGATGGATCTTTTCCAGGCCCTAAGTGACCTGAAACCAGGATATCAAAAGGATTCAAAAGGTCAATTGAAGAGCCATGGCATGTTATTGTGTTTGTCAATTTTCTTCTGAATCTGCGCCCCTCGTTTTCTTTTCGTTCGTTTCCACGCACCTCCTCACCGCCCACATCTACTTCAGCTCCTCCCAAGACGAGAGAAACTCCTCCCCTTCCTCCTCCCTTAGAATCTGGGACTCTCAGACTCCGGGCCGGGCGTGAGGAGCACATGAAGTCCATGGGCTTCTTGCCTGGCCATGCCTTGAAGCTCAAGAAGCGCTTGCGGGAGTTCATTGGCCACTCGCTTCTTCTGACATCAACGAGTTGTGAACCGGAAAATGGAACCTGGGGACCTGGTCGCGCCGACCTTGGACGTTCCGAGTCGAGCTGTTGTTGGTTTGTTTGTGTGTGTGTGTCTTTGTTTTTTGTTTTTGCTTTTTGGTTGTGGTTGTTTTTGTTGTTGCTGCTGTTGGTTGTCGTGGTGGTTGTGGTGGTGGTGGTGGTGGTGGTGTGCATTTGCAGGCTGTGTGCCCCGCCCCCCCAGCTTTTGCCAAAGCCGGCAGCTCTTGGTGCGCAGGATGGGGTTAGCGCCAGGTTTCCGGTCCACACTTCGACTTGCATCACCTTTGGGGCACCACCTCGATTATGGATGCAGGACAGTGGCCCTTGACCAACAGATGATTCCTAGCTCTCTAAACCGGGTTCTTTTGACGAATGCGAATCACACGGGCAGCGACATGCGTATCGCAACTTGCGACATCCTCAATCATAAGGCATTTCCTAGGCAAAGTGTTGAAGCGCCTTGGTGGTCTTGGGATCGTCTTTTCACTGGAGGTGGAAGTCTCAGGCAAATGAGCACATAAACTCATTTGAGCTCCGAGCAGTTCCTAAGGCGGTTCTGTATCACATCACCCGCAAGGGAAAGCAGGATGCTCGTATTTTCCATATTACCGAATTGTATATTTGCATGTCTATGATCGGCAAAGGCAGAACTAGTTCGCGACAGCTCAACATATGTTCTTCGACAACATGTTCAAATGAGGAAAGTTAAGGTTTGCATCTGAATGATTCTTCTACTTTGGCCAGATACTAAGTGTCTTAAATGAGCGCCATCGGTACACACCAGAAACATTAGCTGGTTGAGACACAAATATGCGATGTTTCATGAAATGTTTACCACAGTTTTTGATAATTGGTTGAGCCCGTATTTAAAAAAAAGAACATTAAGCAACATCATAACAATTTCAATTAAACACACATATTTTTGAACATGTTTTGTTTTCTTAGATTATTTGTTCAAGCTTCTATGTTTTGTAACGTGTTTTTTTTCAGAACCATTAACAAACACATTAAAACATCATAAGCACAACTTTTGTTACTTAATTCATAAATCAAAACCATAAAGAAGCGGTGCACAGGATATCTACCACCTATCATAAAGATGCCGCAGCTCCCATGCCTCAGCTGTAGCAATGTGGTTTTCTTCCAGCCTCTTCTGGATATGCCCCAAAATCAACAAGTATGTGCTGTTCGTGCCTGGCTTCAAATCAGTGGCACCTTGCCATCTTCACGTGTCATCCCACAGATGTATGCCCTCCATGGTTCTTGCGTCTTCTTGGGCTCAGCTCATTTCTTCCTAAGGCTGGTGGCCAACGCTTTCCAGAATCTGCTTTCCCGTACCTCAAAGGTTTTGCTTTGCCTTTCCCTTTTGTCAAGGGGTTTCCCCTGCCTTTTGACGAGATTGCTATTTCAATTTGCAGCAAAATCCAGCTCTACCTTCTTTTTTGCATGGTCCTTTTCTTCTTCAATGTTGGCATCTGTTGCCAGTTGCCCTTGCCTTCTTCTCAAGAAAGATGGTTGGGACAGTGGTCTTGCTAAGGCGCTTCCTTTTGGCAAGGAACTGTTTCCAGCATCCTTTCTGGTAAAGCTTCCTTTTGTCAAGGGGTGTTCAGCTGTTTTGTTGTTCGTGTGTTTGTGTGTTTGTTTGTTTGTTTGTTTGCTTGTTTTTTTTGGAGACGAGTTGCTACAGTGAACAATCCCAACAGACTCAATAAACTGTCCAATAAAAAAAAACTGCCCAAGGTAGCGCCCCAAACTTCACATTGATGCGGCTGATCGATCCTGAGCACAAACGGCTGAAAACCATACGGCCCATAGCCAGTCAAGGGTGAGTTTGGCCCATTGGAGCAAAGTCTGGTGCATGGATGCTTGTTTGAAGCCGAGTTGAGGCGGACCAGTTTCCAGGGTTCAGTATGACTGGATTCGAGCATGGTTATTATCTGTTTGGTTATCAGCCGTTTTTCCTCTGTGATCGACCAGTATATAGATCAAGTTGACGGATGTGTTGAGATGCCAGATTGGAAGGCCAGGCATGTTGTGTTGAAGCTTCATTCGCTTTCGGAGGCGAGGAGGCACCCTCCACCGTGAAGACCGTCAGCGAGCCGAGTAACGTCACCCGGTCGTAGAGCGATTCGCGATTTGGAGAGTGGGGTCACCCGGCCAAGGACCACTTTTTCATCCTGGCGGACATGGACATGTTTTCCCATGGGCTCCAAACACCAAGGATCTCCGGTTCCCAGAAGCTTCGGGCTGCAGGACTCCTCCCTAGCTAGCGAAGGACTCGTCGGTCCATGCGAATCGCGAGCACTTGGAGTTCCCCCAAGGCGGACAGCGAACCGTGGGACTGAAGGTTCTGGTGTGTTGTGGTGGAACCCACCCGAGGTGATCAGTGTGTTTGTAGGTGTCTTTTTAATGTTCTCTTTGTGCAATGTTAGATAAACTAAGTCACCTGGGATGGTTTTTTTTTTTAAGGGTCTTGCTTCCTGAGCCATAGACACACGAGATTGGCGGTTTATTGGGTTTATCTCCATGTTTACCCGACTCACGGCAAAAGGTTCAGTCTTCATCTGTATGTCTTGGTAAAGGTCCCGACTCCATCATCCCTCAGCGTTACCAGTGAATTGGATAGACTTCGATGCACCCAGACGCGACCCTGGATCCTCATATGGAGGGGTCCCGGGGTCTCAAATCCGATTGGGAGGGACCAGTCGAGCTGTGAACGGAGCGTTTGGGCAAGTTAAATGTAAACACCCCGCCTTGAAACTTGTTCATGTGAGCCTCCAGCCTCGCTCAGGAACCCTCATTGGACCCTGGAGCATGCAAGCAGAGGGTCCCCGCGAGATGGGGGTGATGGGGCTATGCTGTTTGATGTGCAAAAGCACAAACTACATGTACTAGTACTACATGTGAGATGTGGTTTGAAGTGCTTCACACTTTGATCCCTATACTTGGTAGATTAGCTTTGCCACTGCAACCAAGTGCACCCTCTTTGCGCGTTGGTTTTTGGGGTCTGAAATCCATGGTATCCCGTCGATGTTCCCTTGAATCAATCCATTGAGAAGAGGCAGAGAAGTTGACGTTGTGCTATTGGAAGATCTGAAGACCAGAAGTTCCAGGTCGGGGTGCTTCTTGGAGGAAGTCGGGGTGCCCCGTCACATCCACAATGCTCTCTAAGTGTCTCCCATTTGCCCCAAAGTGCACCACTCACACCTTCCATCCTCCCCCTAGACCCTACTGCTGCGCTCAAGCTCTTAACTCCTCAGAGCCGTTCCAAACGGTGGACCCGTCGAGTCCACCAGGTCCGTCGACCCCGGTCCGCTCAGAACATCTCGGCGGAGAACGCGCTCTCAGTGCAGCAGAGCTGGGCGGAGGTGCGGAAGTTAGGCGCGGAAGGACGCGGAAGAGCGGAGCCGGATGGGGGGTCCGGGTGGGAGCGGGGTGGGACCGGGTTTGAGGATGTTTGAGGGGTTTTGTGAGGAACAGACAGCATGGGAGTGGAGGGGGAATGGGGAGCATGGACAGCATGGGGAGGTAAAGTGGGGATGAGGGAGCAAGAGGATGTGTAGAAGCACAACATGCGATATGTTGTGAGAGGTGAATCGGTTGTAGAAAGTGGATGTGTCATGTTTGGTTATAACGTTAGTGAATGGGTTTACATGGGTTTACATCCAAGCCTAGCCGAATCACCTTCACTTAACAGTTGTGGTGGTCAATTGAATCTGTGTTTTTTGCGTTTTGCTTCATCGTTGGGGACTCAGAACCTCCTGGTCTATTTCTCTCCCAAACGGTCTGGGCCTCAACCAGCGTTTGAGCATGTACTTTTGATAAGAAGTCTTATGCCTTTGCAGGTCAGTTTGACCTCAGTTTATTGGTATAAGAGGTTTGACCTCAGTTTTACATTTACATGTTTGACCGTTTGACCTCACATTTACCTCAGTTTGACCTCAGTTTACTGGTAGGTCATGTAAAAAGACACACAAAAACCACTCAAAAACTGGTGCTTCAGGACCACCTCTTTGACGTACGGGTCAGACCGGACGTACGGGTGCGCCGTCTTGACCCCCGGGCCAGGGGTCTCAACTGTGGGCCATACCTTTTACAAGCACATGTTTCAATTGGTTCCTGAAGCTCGAAAGTTGCGACTTGGAGTCGAGGATGATGGGGGGATTGGAGACACGAAGTGAAAGCATCAATGAACCACCCAGACGCTCCGTTCACAGCCCGACTGGTCCCTCCAAATCGGATTGGTGAGAAACCCCGGACCCCTCCATATGAGGATCGATGAGCGTCTGGGAATGTATATCTTTGGTGTGGAGAACACTATAATATATACAGTACCCTTCCAAGGGACTAAAGTCTTCAAGAGGGATGCTTTGGGGTTGATGGTTGCCATCATGCATAGCCCAGACACTCCCAAAACATGACGCCTACATTGACCGCTGAAACCACCCCAATGAAACCAATGTAGGCAAATACATCATACATGGGTGTCAGATGTCAATGAGTTGGAAAACCATTCGCTCCAGGGCTGGGTCGGACGTTGCAACAGTTCTGGGTCGGACACGGCTTTGGTGAATAAGAGCTTTGAATACCTTTGAATCATGTGAAAGAAACCTAATAGCGGCAGCGATGGCCTCCAACCAACCTGAATACGTTTGAATCATGTGAAGGGTCGACCACGTCCAAACCGCCTAGCCTTCCCCGAAGTGATCAAACATGATCAAGCTGTATACAGTACTAGGACGCACTAGGATCGAGCCTCTAGCCAAGTATGCATCACTCACCTAGCCTTCGATGTCCTTTCGTCACTTCCAGTCAAGGTCAGACTCACCTGAGTCATGCTGGATCATGCTTAAACTACCCCTCCAACCATCTGTGCCTGGACATGGCACCCAGATTCTTTCCGATCCCCAGATCCCCAGATCGGAGTTTGACCTCCTCGTCATGGACCCCGTTTCGCAGCGCTTGGAACCCCGACCAGCGGAGTGTCACCCAGCCGCTTCGCCTCGCCGCTGCGCCGAGCGAACGCTTCGAGCAGCTTCGCCTCGCGTCGCGTCGAACGCCCTCAGATTCCCGATGACCTTCCGCAACCACTTTGCCGACGTGGCTTGGAGGGAACTGGGGGGGGTGGGGTGGAGGGGTGGGTGCTTGCTTCAGGAGGTGGACAGGAAGTTCGAGAGGCCTTGGGAGGGAACAACAAAAACCATTCTAGAACACAAGAAAGTCTTGGTGGGCTTGAACATCTTCTTTGAGCGACCGTCAGGACATGGGGATTCCAGGAGAGTCCATCCTGGCACATCTTCACCGCGGCAAGCCGCCCAAGTGGTGAACCGCGCCGCCCAGGATGGCCTTTTCCACGTGAGCCTGGAGAAGGCCGGGAGGTTGGGTCGGATGGGCGCAGGTTGAGACGAGAAGCTTCGAAGGCCAGGACGCCCCGGTCGGTGGAAAACCACATACACCCCGACGAAGACGTCAGATGGAAGTGGACACTTACTTTTCGTAAAGGAAAGTAGTCTTTCAAGGGACCATGCCATCCACTTCCATGTGATGTGTTCGTCAGAGTGTAATTCAAGTCTGGCGCGAAGGCCTGGTTTCCTCCACTCACCCTGTGGATCCACAGGCGTTCTTTATTCCAATCTGGCGCCAGAGCTGAAAGGTCCATCTTTTACAGATCGATTTGGGGCGTGCCACCATCCCAGACTTACATATGAGATGAAGAAACACTCGGGCGCCCCAAATGCATGAAGTGCGATGCCATGCGCCCCCCCAAATCCAGTATATCTTTACCTGGGGCCTTTTTGTGACCCCTGGAGCTTGGAGGATCAACTATCCAAAGTATGGTCAAACTTGCTATCAAAACAGAGGTCAGTCAGGATCTAGGTATATAATTAACAATGTTTGAAGACGACATGCTGCAATCACATAGGAAGAACTCGATGACGAAAGGGGGGCATCGCCCCTCGGCGGTTTTGTTGGTCCAATCAAAATAATGTTTGGGTATGTCCTATAACTATAACCTGTAACAGTCGATCAACAAGCAGCTCACTATTTTGGAGATGGATGTCGGCCTGCAACGTAACCGTCATCATCCATTGAAACCAGGGAATTAGGGAATGGGATATATATATATATATACATATACCATATATATATATAATCATTGCTTTTTCTCTACTTTGTCGGGTTTCTTCGAGGTCAAGCAGGTCTGCCCCGGTCAGTTTCTCCCGTGGCTCTTCAAACAGGCGTGCACCCCCCCAGCAAAAACATACAAAAACCGGGGGCTCCACCGCATGAAAGAGTCTAAACTCAACAAGAAGCGTCATCAAATCCACTTCTTCACTTTGCAACACTGAGTTTTCAGGAGGCTCTAAAAAAACGGCAGCCAAATGGACTCACCCAAACACCCGTGTTGTTCCTCCCACATCAGCTCCTCGCAAGGCGATTCAATGCCCGCCGGCACCTGTCCTGGAACACTTCACCCGAGTCTTAGAAGCGATCGGCTCGGCAGTGGCAGGCGGCGGCGGTGCATCCGATAGATTTGATTGGGGGAAACAGGGAGGTGTGAATGTTCGAAACAAAGAAAAAAGGAGCTTTGGAAAACAGGGGTCATACTATAAAAACAGGGTCATATAGTATGACTCAGTTACTATAAGTTACATATTGCAATGTTTTGGAAAACATAAAGCAACTCAGTCATGTTGGGATGGGACATCATACCAGGACCATCCCCCTTGGGTCACCAATGTACTACCCTCCACTATGATCTGCGGATATTGATTGGAATGTCCAGGTATAGTCCCCAAATAGATAGTGCATGGCACGGTTTCCAATACATTTTTAGAGGTGATTCACTTTTCTATATAGTTGGGGGATGTTGTGGGTCTGTATATGTCTGAACACACATATAGATACTTCTTCATGGACACCTATGGACACGAGGCGAAGACCGGGCCTCAATCGCCCATCAAGAGGCAAAGGAGTTGTGTTGTTTGTGTTTTTTTTTTTTCAGGATGTTTAAAGGGTGACACAAAGTACAAAAGAAGACCCTCCTGTTTTTCTACCTTCAGGGCCTTCCCAGTACTTTCCGCTGAATGTCTCTTCCCCTATCGACTCGCTTGCCCTATCGACTCGCTTGCTACAGCCGATGCTCCCAGCGCTTATCACCGTCCTCCAGCATGAGGACGAGGGCTATTGGCGATGTTTGTTCTGGCCCCTTCAGCATATCCAGGCTATCACCTTTGTTGTGAGGGGCAAAACCCTAGCGAACTGAGGGTCCAATGAGCCTTTGGGAGATGGAAGGTTTGGTGGAACCTGTATCTGTGGGATCTACTCCCTCGGGTGTCGTGAGTTCAACAACCACCCCTGAGAATCGAGCCAGGCTTGCAGAACAAGGAGCGCATGGTGCCGCAGCTTCTGGCTCTGGGCCTTTGGGAATCAAAGCCATATAACAGATGCATTGTTACTTTTCTTGTCGGGGGTGTTTTTTAGTTCTGTGACCGAAAAATAACTATATAACAACATATAACAACCTTGTTCTAATACATTTAGGATATTTTTTGTATATATAAGGTATATAGTGGTATATATATATATCATGTCATTTACACATGGAAGCAGCACGTCCAAAGTCCAAAGCTTGTTTTTTTCCTGCCTTGTTGGAAGGTCGTTTTTCCCGCCCAGCTGGGGGTTTCACTTCAGTCCTCCACTGCGTCTGAGGGATCAAAGGAATGAAGGATACCTGAAGTCTCAGTTCGTCCCTGCGAAAACTGGGGGTCATGGACTCCATGTTCTGAGGTACTTTGGAGGGTCTGGGTGTATACCTAGAACCTGAGTATCCTCTATTTTTGATCACCAACCATCCAAGATATGGTCCCTTCAAAGTCCTTTCCCATCAAAACAGGGGTCATACTATATAACTTATATACTGCAATATGCGGACGGCTGCTTATGCCATGGAAAGGGGCAGTTGGTTACGGATGTGAGTGGGTTTGGATGGCTTATGGGAGCTCAAGCTATGTTTATACCTACTGCAATCTCGCATGGTCATCGCTGGGCTCCTTTTACATGCTAGGTCGCATGTGCCCAAACACCGAGGGCGGTATCACCAACTTGGAGGATTTCGACAGCATCATGCGACCATCTGAGGTATGAAGCATGCAACCTTGGGCTTGGAAGAGATTCTTGGCGCCTGTTTAGTCCGTCGGGATTTTCTGCAGACGGCCTACAGGAACGAAAAGCCATACCTCTCCTCTTGGCCTCAAAGCCTTCTTTGGCTCTCCTTGCCCTTCTAGGTGCCATTCTGTTCGGGCAGCTGGAGGCTTGAAGTAAGAAAGCAGTTCACCTATCACCCTGCGTCAGTGTGAGCAATGCGGACTTCGACTGCCCGGAGTGCCCGGAGTAGCCATGAAATAAACCAATGCGAGACACTCCTCGCAACTGAACATATATATATATATATATTATATTACATCATATTACAACGGCCCTATATGAACCCCTATTTGCACCACTCCTGATCGGTCAATACATGCCAGTTGGATTGGAGTGTCTGGGAATTTGGGACGCTGAGCTGGGTTGTCCTTTCAGCACAACCCAAAGAGGAGGTCTGGCCAGCACACTGCGGAGTAGTGCGGCACAGATGCGGCACAGATGCACCGTCGCTTGCTTGTTCCACCCTTGCCACCGGGGCCACCACGCTGCTTGGAAGGAACTACAGATCCTTGTGGCCAGACCAACTCTCAACCACTTTGGAACCAGCCACTATTCCGACTCCTACTTAGACTGATGTCCGAATGAACCTTGCTTAAACCAATGCCTTAGCAGTACTACAACCCTGTGAAATCATGCCTTTTTGTGTTTGGCTCGGAGGGGGCGGGTAGTTGGAGCCCTTTTTGGGGGTACAGTGGGTTCAGAGTAGATGGCGCAATCCCCAAAAGGTGGTTTGTATGGACCCCTATCTAAAGGACATCTTGGGGTTTGTGCCATCTACTCTGAACCCACTGTATCAATCTTCTCCAATTCGTTTCCCATGTTTCCGCACCCCCGGCCCCCGGATGATCTGTGCGTGTCCCCAACATCTCCACCTCACCCGACACGCGCCGTAAACCGGACACGGAGCCGGCCACCGGTTTCGCGGCTGTTTGCTGAGCGGCTCAGCGTCAGGGAGTGGGGAAGAAATCTAAGAGTTGTTCTGGTCGTCCAGGCTATCTACATCTATCCATTTAGACCACATCCCTGCTTTGGGCCTTCACCTTCAGAAGGATCTCCACCTCTCTCTTGAAAGACCTGGGACCCGTCTCCGCCAGGAAGTACTTCCGCGTGGGCAACGCCGCGTTGATGTTGACGCTCCACGAAGCCTTGGGCGATCGCTTCACCGTGGTCCTGGAGGAAAGCCGCAGAAGTCACTGGATCCCAAGCGGTTCGCCTCGGGCCGGACCAGAGGGTCAGTGTAACACGGAGAGTTAGGGAGTTGATCTTGATATACCTTAGAGCTGGACTGACCGTTGATCCTCCAAGCTCCAGGGGTCACAAAAAGGCTCCAGGTATATATATATATACCGTATATAATATATCCCGACAAGTCCCTACAAGTCCTGTCCGGACAACCTCATCGAGTTGTTTCTGTTTACATGACCAACACTGAGATTCTCAACCTGCACATTATAACTAACATATTTCTATGTTTTTCCTCTACATAGTGCCTCCTAGACTCCTGGGGTAGGAAAGATGTTCTTCTCCATTTGTCCTTTGTAATATATTATATTGACCGATGAGATTTGGTTGTTGAGTTCGCTTGGAAGCTTAAGGGTTTGATTCAATTCTTTAGGAATGCATCAGACGAGAACCTCATATCAGGGGTGTCACCCTTAAAGGATATGCAGGCATTATATGGACACCTCACTGAGATTCATGGGAATCTCACATCTTACGTTAACATCCTCAGAACTAGTGGCAATGTCGTCTCGTGACTCTTGCACATCCAGCCAGTGTTTGAAAACAGAACACTCGCTTTGACTCAGCATGACTTGGATACATCAGTACTTGTCATGACTTGGTCCGCCACAGCATCAGCATGTTCAACTGTTGATCCGCCACAGGAGTCTTGGTCGTTGGTTTATGGCTTTATGTCCGCCAACATGTGGGGGCCACCCAGTTGCTGCGCTGCGCAGCGCGTCTGGGCGCCTCGGGGCGCGGAGCACTTCCCTGGCGCCGGGGTTGATGTCATGGGGTCCAGGCTTCATATGACCCTCATAATTCTTGGGCACTTAAGTCACTGAGTGGAACTGAAAAGAGGCAAATTGCTAAGTCACTGCTTCACGTGGTTTTAGCGTGTGTGGTTTGGGCATGCTGCATGCTTTTGTTTTTTTGGCATATGAAGGTTTAGTTTGAAGCCTCAAAGCCTTAAGTTAAGATCCATCCTTCCCAGTCCCGAATTGAAAACACAGCAGCAACAAATGGAGAAACAGTGCTACCACACTCTTTGATACAAGTAGTTACAAGCAGAGAATTCACTGCAAGCATGGCTTGGTGGACTGTGGCTTGTGAAAATCACAGGCTTTGGCCACCTACATACGCAGATTCTATGAGTCTTCCGTCCCTGATGCCGATCGATCCACTTCCGAAAACCAACACGGACCGCCTGGGAATGTGCAGGTGAAGTGATGTTAGATTCACGTTAGAATCTTGTCAAATTTCGTCCGTTTCACCTAAACCATGAGTTGGTTCATGTTGGTTCTTTTCCTGAGAATCCCTCCAAGGGTGATAGAATCCAACCCTACGATGTCAAGAAAACATGTCAGATCCACCTACTTGATCACCCAATCCATCCCATTCCCGGCGGTCACGGCCCTTGCTCCCTGAAAAACCGAACGGGATTGGTCGTCAGGTTGTCCCACGTCTCCACGGAGGCGACGTCGCGGTCTGTTTGGATGGAGACCTCCCCGGGTTTCCCCCACCTCTCACCATGGCAGCACGTGGCGTGGCGTTTGGCGCTCAGGATCGCGGGGTTCCGTGACTTCCGCTCCAAGGAGGCTCAGGTTCGCCGGGTTCCGAGGATCGGGAAGGAGGCTGAAGGCCTGAAGGAGATGGACCTGAAAGCCTCCAAAACGAGCCTCTGGCACATGGGTCGACTACTTCGAGCCACTTTCGGTCTACCAATGGGTCGACTTAGAAACATTGGAGGAAGCAGAATCCCTGTGGTCCCCGGGATCATTCCAACATCTTGCATGGCTGCAATCGAAACTGTATACAGTCGCCTGACCGCCAGGCCCGCCTCTCTCGGGCCCAGAGAGGGGGCCACTACTCTCGTTGTCGGTCTCCTCAGGTGGCGGACTTCCGCGCGGAGATCCAACGGACCATGAAGAAGAGTGAGGCGGCCGTGGTAAGTAGAGACGAGATGCGGAGCTTTCCAGATACGGGTCCAAATGGTCGCCTGGGGTGGAATGGTAGGCGTTTTGTTTAATGCCATAAATGGAATGTTTGGATATATATAGTGGTATTGAAAGACTGGAAACATCTTGAAGCATATGCTTTGTTGTGATCCTTAGCCTTCATGTTGTGTTTACTCAATATTCTGTCCTGAAAGAGACGTGCACCTAGTGCTTCAAGGCACACCGGACCGTGACTCGGACCTGAGATCCACGGCAGGTGGGATGGTGAATCAATGTAAGGTTTCGGAGGAAGTCTTTGGCAGGGATATACACTATGTTACACTCAGCATTCACTTCCAGGTTCTGATGATTCAGACTCCATCAAACGACATGAGACTCCCGAGTGCGCCAGACGCATCCAGTGGTCCAGATTCGTCACTTTTTGATGTTGAAGTCAGTCTCAGCCCGAGAAGCAAGATGACACTTATAGAGACTTTTTGTATCAGTCATCCCCGCCACTCGAAGAGGTCTGGGAAAGGTTCGGGTGCCTGAGTCTCAATCTACCTAAGGTTTCCTTGTTGCCCAGTTTAAAGGCCCTCAGCCGTGATGAAACAGCCATGGATTGGGCATGTCACGGAGCGTTCTGTACATATACATACCCAGATCTTCTAATATGCAAAATGTATGCCTTTTGGCTGGCTTGGAAGATCTAACGGCTTGAGCCTTCAAACCATATCCGCAGCACCCCTCCAACAAACAGGGAAGTGAATGGCATGATCTCTTGGAAGACTGTTCTTTAAATACTTACCAAACAAGGAGTTTTCCCAGAGAAACATATCAATTAGATATTCTTGCAGTGCAGGGCAAGTCTGTAGCTCAGAAGTTCATTTGTTCCAGTCAACCCCCCAAACAGCTCCCGGAACATTGGACAATTGGAACAAAAGGTATTTGGATCTCAAGCTATGGCAGGAGAACGGCTGGGAATCCTGAGAAGTGGATTGTTCCTCCATCAGCAGCTGGTGATTAGTGATGTTCCTGGACAACTTACACAACAGCTCTTGTTCAGGTATGAGGACGCGAAGATTGCACGACGGTATGAAACGGTCTATGACGGTCATACACAGCTCTGGTGCGACTGAGTGACTTCAGCAACTCGGTAATGTCGACTCGGGAACGACTTCAACTCGCGGACCCAGAAGACGAAGTCCGACCCCGAGAAGCTGCGGAGCCTGGCTGAGAAGATCTCTGGGCAGCTGAAGGCCGACAAGGCGAAGTCTGCGTGCGGGATGAGGAAGGCTACCGTCGCGGGTGGAGGGACCCAAACGGAGAATGTATGATGATACAATTACAGTAGGCATTATCCCTACAAGTCCAGTCTGATCCAGTAAACTTGGTGCTGAAAGCCTCATTGAGTGGTGTTCTTACATGACCAACACCAGTAATTAGACTGAGGTCCTTGACCTGCAGTATATGGTTATTTCATGTTATTTCCTTTACCCTATAGGAGCCCAGGTCTAGGATGGTTCCTATTTGGATTTACTTGAAACATTTTGAAACCCAATCGAGCCTTCAAGACTTATTGTAAGCAGGACATGACTGGACGCTACGGGTCAGTCTTTGTAGTGCTTTGAGAAGCAGAATTTGTAACTTAGTTGGTGTCATAACCTAGGTTATACCAGCCTAATGAACAAGTTCTCAAGGTTACTGTTCCTATGATCAGGACCGTCTCTTAAAGGATATGTTTGCAGAAGACGTGAATAGATATATAATACACGTAATAAATGCATATGGCATATAATTTAGTTCAAAAAGATCAGCCAGACAGCCAAAGCTATGATCTTCCTTGTATTCAAAGGAAGGCTGCGTCCATCAATGGCGCCATTCTATGCCTCGATGCGATGCGTGACGCCATTGACGATCATCAGGCCTCTACAAAGGGTGATGCGGATCTGCCAAACTTGTTGCCACTCAGCATCCACGAAGTGTTCGATTCTAATATCTTCCCTTGACATACTCGACTTGACCCGGTCGACGAGCCCCTTTGGTTCATCTAGGAGTTGGCTGCAAAAAACAAGATGTTTGGATTCTGGATCTACCAGTACATCACTGGTAGATTGCTATTTACATATGATGGTTAATTTTATGTTAATTTGGTGGGTCAAAACCGGGGGATAAGGCACCTTGGATTTTCCCACCAAAAATGAACGGAATAGACTACCAGACACGATCAATCTACGGAGAAAGGGGCTCCAGGCTTTGACTCACTGGTAGATTACTATTTATATACATCAATTTGCCATTCTTGTGTTGATGTATCCTGCAAAATTGATGGTAAATTCACGTCCATTTGCTACGTATTTACTGCAGGTTCACCCAGGTCTCAGCTCACTCAGGTCTTCTTGAGCAGAGCGGACGGAGGTCACCCGCCCATCGGTCAGTCCCATTTCTGGACCGTGCTTTCCGGTTCGACACAGACGGTTCGGTCTGCTTTTTTTTTTGTTTGGAGTTGACCCATAAATATTGAAACACCTGCCCTCAAAGTGAACATAGAAACTATATATGAATTGTATTGCGCATGTCTATACAAATTGTGCATAGATCAAAGCGTGAGGGTGCCATCGGGTATACCGGGGTCACCGAAGCAAAACTACATAGATTTACCATAGCCTCCATGGTGCTGGTTTAGGCACGTGTGGGAGCTGTTCTATTCGTTTGAGAAATGATTTGAGAGTCAAAGGGTCCTCAAAGAATCTATAGAATCCATTTGCATGTTCTACGCTCAAAATGGAAGATAGGAACCCACGAGCCAGGCATTGAAACACCGTAGGCATCCATAGGGCTTATTCTACTCGTAGGTTATTGGTTAACTTTGAAGCCCCTTGTTCCTTTTTTTGGAGCCCCTTGCTGCTTGGAACATGGGAGGGTCCTCCCATGTCCTCCCTTCCGTCCAACACTCGATGGTGAGCCCAGGACCGCCACACCCACGCCGTCGTTGCCGGAGAAGGTGAAGGAGACCCTTCTGGTGGAGCCACTGGAAGAGGAAGGAGACTAGGCCGAGAAAAGCTCAGTGGAACACTCAGTAGTGGAGAATTGGATGGTGGAGCCATGACCAGTGTGAGGTCATTGGATGATATGACCAGCTCTTTCTTGCAAAACCTCGAGCAGATGGCCTCACATCTTGTGACTGGTGATGTGCAACATATCCAATGTTGAGGTTTGACCAATGTTGAACACACGAATCGACGTTGTGTCTTGGGTATGGTCCTGATGGTCAATCACACGTCTATTCCACTGAGTATCCATGTTGTATTGAAAACATCTGGACAAGACTACAGCACTTATTCACCAAGCTTGTCAGCAGGTTATCCACCCCTGGCCCTTCACAGATGGTGTTTTGGGTGCCTAATCTACAGCCACATCATCCTCCAGCGTCCAGGGCGGGGGAACAAGCAAAGAGATACTCTTTAGGCACCAAGTGGCACAGACATCCTTCCTTTGCAAGCAATGCAAGAGGGTGTTGTTTTCCTTTTTTTCTCATCAGCAACCGGCAGCGTACCCATGATTTACCTCCAATATCCTCTAATTGAACTATCGAATCATTCCCAGACCATCCATGTATGTACTAATTGTAGATAGCAACTATTCCTGGAACACATCCACTTGAGTGTGGAACGGTGCCCACCACCACTGCTTTTTGGCATACGCACAGCATGAACGTCGCGGGCTGTGGCGCCAGGTAACTTTCAAGACCTTCCTTCGATGGCAGGGTTTCAGTTTAAAAAGCAGCTGCAGGTCGGCCAGGTGATTGGCAGAGTGGATACAAAATGACATCTCCATGGACAAAATGGACGACTACACTTCCTGAATTCAAACAAATTGTTTCCACTTCCATGTTCGTTACTTGGGGTGTATGCCAACAAGTGTATGCGTCAAGAAGTGTCACGTGTTGTATGTCTTACATGACGGTGTATGTCTAGAGCAGATGATCAACATCCTCGCGACCAGCAGAAAGGACACGCTTCCAGCTGTGGCCGGCGGTTGTCTGCTTTGTTCCAATCGAAGCTGAGATTCCATGGTCCACGGTAGGTGCAAAGGTTCAAGTATGTTGATGCTTTGAGCACACATATGAAAAGGTGTATATATAATACTATGTGTGATTACATAGTTAATCAGTTGTTGAACACACACCTATCATATGTGTGTTATATGATACATAGTAATGTTGAAAAGGTGTATATATGATTAGCTATGTAATTACATAGCCAATCAGTTGGTGCCTTGGGCCAGGAACAAGATGTGCGGTTTCGAGGTTTAGTCTCCTGAGTTAGTCGACTTGAGTGGTCTTCTCCGGCGTTTTTGTCCGTGGTTTCCAAATCATGTTGGTTCACAGTGGTCAGATCTTGCTTGCACGGCTCTTTCTCTAGAACACCAAACTGAATCTCACATGGAGAAATCCGTGAAATCGACTTCTCGTTTCTTCTCATGTCAGCTGGTGTCGGTGGTCGGTGTCTACCAAGCAAAAAGACAATCCCATGGCCCATGGCCCTGGATGGCAGTGTTGGGCAACACCCGAAACACCGGTGTGGGGGGGGGCCGCTTGCTGGCGGCCCGCAGTGTTTTCCGCCTTCACCCTGAATTAGCGAAGTGTCAGCTTCGTCTCCCTATCTGAGGCGATGTTTCACGGGTTTTGTTCGAGGCTATTCTTCCAACTGTGGGGCTGGAGCGATGAGGTGTAATTATAGTTGAAGCCCTGAAAGCAAAATAAATACCTAGCAGGCTTGATGTCAAGTACTTTACACATGTGTGGCTCGAAGATACCCTCCTGGCTGCTGGTGAAGCACATAATCTCATTAAACTAAATATCTATACATCTTAAAATCTATAAATACCAGAGTAGTGGATGATTGGAGGATACCCTACGGGTGGCTTCCGTACCATGACTGGCACTGGAAAAGATAAAAACGCCCAAACTTATCCGTCCAGCATGGAATCTCAGAGATCTTGAAGGTTGGCTTCGCTGCCATCTTGTGTCTCCACAAAAGAGCGCGGGGACTGTACACATGTATTGCATGCAGCTGAGCCTGGGTTCAAAACCAAGTGAATACCAAGTGACATTGACATTGAAGAACAGGAAGAAAACATTGGAGCTCAAGGTGTGTTTCATTTCAACCTGTTCACCAACAGAGTCAAACAGATGTTGGACCGGGATTTGGTCCAAACCTTTGATCTTTGGTCCCAATTGGACGGACAGTCCGTCGGGGAGGTGCGCGACTGGCGGGCTCAGCGGCTCGCCAGTCGTCGTACCGGTCGGGATGCATCGGTGCTGGGTGCATACAGATCAAGGAAGCGGTTTGAAGCTGTTGGAAGGAGAAAGAAAGCTCAGACACAGCAAGCCTTCCTTTGGTAATTCTCTTGTAGAGATCTGTCTATAGCAACAGATCATATAGAAAGATCATGTTCTTCTCAGTCCTCTTTTAGACCAACAAGCCTTCTTTGGGTCGCCAAGCCTCAGACTTCCTGTCAGACTGTTCTCGTTTTGGTGGTCACTACTTCCGGAAAAATTAAGCGCCTATGCAGTTTCTTGAGCCGTTCTGAACTGCCTCTCAATTCCACCTGGTTGATCCGTCATGACCGGAAAAAAATGAAAAAACAAACGTGAAGGACCCAGTTTGCGCTGCGGCATACCCGTCGCGTGCATCGATCATGACTGGAGGGCCGAGCAGCGTTCCAAAGGGTCTCGCGCAGTGCTTGGGTGCTCTTTTTTTTGTTGGCACGCCACTACCTCCAGTTTGTTGAATCTCACCCGTTGTGCCATCTCTGGAACGCTTCTGTGCAGGTTCTCCTGTTGGACAGTCGGCAGAGGTGCTCAAGTATAGCGCGTTATACATACAGTACACATAATTATGTTGTGTGTTAGAGAATACTTAAGTAGGGGGGCTTGTGTTAGAAGGGGCTTGTGTTAGTTATACATACAGTACCCATTAAGAATAGGGCGTGGGGTTTCATTCTTCGCAATGGGTAAACTGCACAAACATGTGGCAGTGACCCTGCAAAACTCCCTCGTTCAACACACTTCTTCTTCGTTTTCGAAGAGAAAAGCATCCCTCCAGGTGACAGAAAAGCAGGGTGACAGGTCAATTGAGTCATGATTTCTCAATAAAGCCCCCCCAACAAAATGGCGATGCCGCCATTTTCCTGGTTTTGCTTCTAAGGTTGGGAGTTTTAGTTTTTTGTGTGTTCCCCGTGGGAATCCCTTTTTGCGGAATAGTTTGTGATATTTGGTTGTTGTTTTTTTAATAACCCAGCTCCTTTTGAGCATATCCAAGTTTTGGTCGGGGTGAATGACTCTCATCAACTGTCAACCTTCTTCGGGGTTCCAAACTCAGACCATGACTTGGGGGGAGAGGGAGATCATTGCAGGACCTGCGGAAGTGGACGTCTAGATTTTCAGAAATCGGACACCCAACCAGATCCTTGTTTGGTAGTTTCCCATGTTTGTTCCATTTCCTGTGTTCCTTAACTTGTTCAACTACAGTACTGGTTTGGGATTGAAATATAGAGAGAGAGAGAGAGAAGCAGAAGTCAGCAAATCCAGCTAGAACATGTCTAGCGCATCGCCTATGATTTCTTTGTGTTGAAGATCCCAGACAATCCATGTATGCCACCCCATTGACCCCAGGTCAACCATCCCAATGTATGTAGTTACTGTGCCATACATCCTGCCGCAGTCGGGTGCCCATGTCACCTGTATCAGGGAACAGGCTGGCTGATTAATGGCTGGCCTGTCGCCTGTCCTTGGCTGGTTCACGCACTGTGGAGGAAGCCCACATGGGTAGCACTTGAAGCTTCCAGTTTCTACCTCAGAAGTTGCAGATGAGCCCCAAAAAACAACCGATACGGATACTTGTACGCATATACTTATACAAACGGCACAACTGCAGGTGTGCAGATCAGCTTTTGCTAAACCCCAGCAACCCCCAGCAACCGGTGCACACGGGTCCCGTCTGCGGACGCCCCCACGCACGGGTCACACGCAGTGAGAAGATCGGTCCAGGCGCCTCCGTTCCTTTCAGATCCCATATGATCCATGGTGTCGGCGCAGAACGGAACCGACCGTGTTCCTCTCTGGACCAGTTTGGTTTTGTGTTCTTTTTACTCCCTAGGGCTCCTGGCTGTTTTTCCTCAGGTTTGGTGGGCACAGACACCCCTGTCCTGGCACCTACCCCTGGCCCACCGAACCGAAACGGAGGGGGCGGCCAGGAGCCCTAGGGTTTACACCCGGGTTCTTCATGCACTTCGTTTCTTCACTTTGTGATGCACTTCGTGACCCAGGTGGCCCAGGGTCCATGGGACTCAAAAGCCAGAGTCATTTGACTCTATAGGTCAAAACCCGGAGCCCGTTTCACCCCTGGAAGGTTGCTTTTGCCTCCCCAAGTAGTCCATTCTGTTATACAGTTTTCTGTGGGACCTCATCCAAAACCCGTTTGGTCCGCCCTTTCTGAACCCAATGCCTCGGTGCCCTGAAGCGCCCCGGACCCGGGACCCGTGCGGCGCCGTGAAGCCACGGATTCGACGTGAGACCAGAGACGACCTGTTTGGGACTGCCATGGGACGGACTGCCTTCGAAACGGCCAGGGGTGGTGGTGGTGGTGCTTTGGGGGGGTCGACCTCTGGGGCGGCAGGTTACGGACTGGCAGTCCTATGGCAGTCTCGTGTCTGGGTGATGTAGGTGGGAGGAGGGTCCAATCGTACCGAACCGGTACTGTGGATCCCTAGGGAAGTAAGGTGTCAATCATGGATTAGAGCAAGCTTCTAAGAGGGCCTTTTTCGTAAAGAAAAAATACTAAAACAAAAAAAAACATTTGATGTCAATGGACCTACTGCATATTACCTCTCTCTCTCTATATATATATATATTTATTAGTATGTTAGTACCTGCTTGTTCAGTCCTCAGAGTGAAGTTTAGCAGCTCAGCATCTGTGTGCGCCATGTGTTCACAAACGTTGCTTTGGAAAGATCCAGGTGGTTGTGAATGGAGGATGCATGCATCTC